AGCCAGAGCCGCGCTATCCCCACCCGCACCGTGCCCATCAGCGACGCCGCGCAGCTACCTCATGACTATTGCACCACGCCCGGGGGGACGCTCTTCTCCACCACACCGGGAGGTGAGCGCCGGCCGCCCGCGAAGCCCTCGCCCGGAGCCTGCAGCCGGCTACCGAGCGCGTCCGCGCTATCCCCTCAGTTTCCCGCCACGGTCCTTTAACTCAGGGCGTGTCCACGCTGGGCCGCTTGGGCCATTCCGGCTTCACCGAAGCCCCTCCCCTGTAGGCGCACAAAGCCCCCCTGAGACTGCTTTCGGGAACCTTAACTTCGCGTTCTCTGTCGCCTGCAACTAGATTCAGCGCGTGCCCGCTCTGGAAACGTGGCTCTCTTGTCGCGAAAAAAAGCCCTTGTTACCGCTTCGTGGCAGGTTTACGCATTCGACCCAGTCTTCTACCCCTCCTCCTTCTGCTCCCGGGCAAATTCGCCTACATTTGGCCTTGCACTTACTCCACATTATCTCTGCCTCTTAATATATTTTGTATTTGTGCACATTTATGCTTGATTTTGGAGCTGTCTCTCGGGACTTTTTAGAAAGGAAGTTGGGGAGAGTAATTCGCTTCTGGGACCCTGCGATGACTTGTTTTGCTGCTTTTAGAACACCAGGAGGAGGCTGGAATGCGGAGTTTGGAAGCCTCGCCCAGTGTTATCCTGCTTTGACAGCATTGTTTACTTTGCTGGACGAGGCCTCACGGGTGGGGGGGGGAGTCCCCAGGCTGGAAGAGGAGTGATTAAAAAATGCTCAAGTAATAGCCCAGGGAAAGGAGCGCTGGCACCCTTGAGGGTAGAGTTTTGGTGGTGACGCTTTTGGAGATTGAAGAGGGCATTGTCAAGGAGGGCGCCCTCACAGGTGGGATTTTTTTATTTGATCGGGGTTCCTGATCATTGCTTTTCAAAGTAGACCAGGAACTGTTTACGAGGAAGAACACTGGGGTAGAGGTGAAGAGCGTTGAATTAATTGGTCACGGGAAGAGGGAGCTCAAAGGTTGTCTGTCCCCTGACTGGGCTTTTCTCCAGAGGGAGGAGACTGGAGAATGATCTTGAGGGACATTATGAGGGGAATGGTGCTTCATTTTTAACTTTGTAACTTTGCCTTTTGGTGATGGGGGTGGCCTCTCACTAGAGGGTTGAGGCTTTGCTGGCAGCCCCTCCTGCCTACAAGATTGCTGGCTTCGTTCCTGTGGGCTGGGCTCACCAGTTGTACTCCAACCAATCCCCTGCAGTTAAGCTTCGGTGATCGGTTGCACAATAGCAAGGCCCCATAGAGCAAGAAGACATCCTTGTCAACAGGGGATAAAAATTTAGGAGAGAGCCCTGCAGAGGAATCCAGCCTGGCCACCTTAGGGGTGGGGTAGCTGCCTTGGAAGACTTTTAAATAACCCAGGCAGGAGAAGTTAATCAATATGTACAGAAAGCTGGGCTTAAGGAAGTTTTAACTTTTGCAGAACAGTGAAGTTTCTAGTGAAGTGGCTTACGTCATTAGAGAAAACTCCCTCCTGACCTGATCTGGTCAAGGCTAGCCCCTGAGCATGCTGAAATCTGGCCTTTTAATCATGAAAGATTTTGGTAGATCAGAATCCGCTCCAGATAAAATTGTCCTGAACTTGAACTGACAGCTTTTAAAAAATGGATGTTTTCCAAGGTGATGGAAAGGGATTTATGACTTCTCCCAGAATTCTTTGTGAATTCTGTAATGCCTGTGCTTCCAGTAGTTCAGAACATATGTCATAGTAGTAACTGTACTCAGATTATTTATTTGAGGATGGAATGAAGCTTTTAGCTGCATATTAATCTATCCCCCTGAGGGAAGAACCACAGGGGCACCCTTTTGGCATATTTCAAATAGCCAAGCCACCTTGCTTTTATAGTATGGGCATAGTTTTTAAGTGTGCTCTAAAGATAAAAGCTGTCTCATAGTCTGGATTAGTTCCTACAGTGTGTAGAAAGATTCTGCCAGAAATACTAATTCATTTACCCTATCTCCCTACAGACATAGTCACCACTGCTTTCTCAAGTATCACTTAACCTGTCTCCTTACACTTTCTACAGTTTTTGATTTCAGATTTAAATACTTGTCATCCTAGCTCATCTGTTACATTGAGCCAGTATTTATTGGTAGAGCACATTGTAATCTTTAAATTTTTAACAAGAGGACTTACATAATGTGTTTATAGGATATAGCACTGTTGGGATTGGATTTAACCACTATTTTATAGCAGTTAACTCAGTGCTCCTTAGGTGTTCAGTACTTAGTGATTTAATTTCCCCCCTTTGGAAAATTTCCAATTTTCTGGTGGTTTATTCATTTCTCTTGTTACATTTCCCCTCTCTTTTCCCAGGTAATTTTCCTCTGCCCAACCAGCGTTGTTATTTGGTCACCTCTAGGCACTTGCATTAATCTTAAATGAGTTTTGTGAGCCCAGTGCAGTGCTTTGCACAGAATAGGACCAGAGAAAAGTAGGAAATGCAGTCTTTGCTCTAAATGGTCTTAAACTCTTGGTCGGGATTAGAGATAGAAAAGCTTTTTAGTTCTACAACAAACAAACAAACAAAATTGTAAAGAGTCAAATGCTAACATGTATTTCAGACTTGAAAACATTAGAAAAGTGATAGTAGGCTTATATTCGAAATCTCCATTTAGTAGGAAGGAAAGGAATTAGAATTTCCTGTCTCAAACTTCTGGAAACCTTCTGGAGTGTCATACACATGTCAGAGCATTCCAGGATAAGATGATGTGCTAAATGCCCTAAATGATCAGACTGGGCAGGGACATTCACAACATAGTGAACTTACGATCTCTTCCCCTGAGAGGGTATCTCTTACCCTTAAGAAGGTTTCTCAAAATTACCTTCCTTTGATTTGGAAAATGAGAGGTGGGTGAAAACACTTGCTGTAACCTCTTCTATTTCTCATCTTTTTGGAAGAGTACCTTTTCTCATTATTAAAGAAGAGTAACATTTTTGAGTAAATTCAAGACAAAAAAAAATCCCTTGGATTTTATTTTGTTTTGTTTTTTCTGCCTGTGGAGGAATGGACATGAAATTTGGTTCTTCCTTTGAGAAGCTACTACTATCCTCAATGAAAGGTAAAGTTACTAGAGTCAGCTTTACTTTTATAACACTCTGGCTATCTGGAAGGGAACCTAATGCTTTCATTTTATAATTGAGAGAAACAGATCCAGAGAAATTAAATAACTTGTTAGTATCATACAGCTAACTAATGTCAGTCAGTGTGTAGCCTCAAATTTAGTGTCCTGATCCCTATTCCAGTTTTTTCCCCTACTATATTAAGATGAATATTTTCCTGAAAAGGGAAGTTTGCAAACATTTAAAGAGACTCTTCTACCTCTAGAATGCTAGCCAATGCAATGCTTTCTGCTACCTTATTTCTTAATAAGTTCTGAACTGTTTCCTTGTGGGAGAGTTGTGCTCTTGGGAATGAGCAGAAACATAGAGACCTGTTTTTGCCTTTCTTTTCCTGCATATCATCCTCATCAGCTGTGGAAAAGTATGCTGTTGCCATAACAAGAGCACCAGAGGGGAACTAACTATGATGATCTGAAATCTTGTTCATAACCTTGTACTTCCTCTCTGCCAGCTAGAGTTGCTGTGATTGGTTCACTGGAGCAGAATTACCTGATGGCCAAGGGTCTGGGAATAAAGAAGACAGGAAGAAAGGAAAAGAATCCATGTGGAGTGAGCTGTAATAAAGTCAGAGTATTTGAGGGGAATCCTGAGTGTTAATCTGGATCCTTTCTTGGGAGAAATGAATAGAGCCCTCTGTAGATTTGGGAAAGGAAGGCCAGTTTCTCACTGTCATAAAACTTTCAATTCAGTGACCTTGGGATGAGTTTATTTTAGGCCAAAAACTTCTAAACATACTTGTTTGGCTCTCTAAGGTTCAGGTATTAACCAAAGAACTTCATGATTACATGTGAAAAGTGCACAAAAAAACATGATGCAAGGTGTCTAGTCACTTTGCCCTGTGTTTGAGGAAGATGGCATTACTTATTTCAGAGTAACAAAAAAATTTGTTGTCGTTCCGGAGGAGATCCGGCTTTAGTCTCATATTCATCAGCTGCCAAAGTATATATTAGAACTTGTAGCTCAGTTTTATGTTGGGTGCATATTTGCTGATGAGGGACTGAATTCTGAGCCAGGGAAGGCAGCAGTCCTTACCTGCAAGGTATAGAACAGTGCATTCATTATGTTTAAGGGAGTGCCTTGCCTGCCCCGAGTCAGGTGCAGGGAAGACAGCTCTTCCAGGCTGATAATGCAGCATACACGACAGATGTGCACAGTTCCCGGCAGATGTGCACAGCTCCCATCAGCTCTCCTGAGGCCTGTGTGTGAAACAGGATGAGTCTAAGCTGGCACTACCAGGATGGTTCCAAAAGAACTTTTTTTTAAAAAAAAACATTTTTTTTATTGAGTTACAGTCATTTTGCAACATTGTGTCAAATTCCAGTGTAGAGCACAATTTTTCAGTTATACATGAATGTACATATATTCATTGTCACATTTTTTTTCTCTGTGAGCTACCACAAGATTTTGTTTATATTTCCCTGTGCTATACAGTATAATCTTGTTTATCTATTCTACATCCAAAAGAACTTTTTGAGGACTGTAGTCTTAAAGACAGTTTTATGGGAGGGGTCCTGCATGGTTTAGAGACACTACAGGCTTGACTATACATGTGTGTGAGAGAAGATTTGCAAATCAGACAGGGTAAAGTTAATGTGGGAAAACTCATCTGGTTGGAGAGGAAGAGAGCCTGAGCAGGACAGTAGTTTGTTGGTGAAGGATAGAACTTTTTCTTGGCTTCCTAGTCTTTAGATGAACAGATTAATGTTTAAAAGATTTTTGCTGCTCCATTCATAACAGAACAAGTCAGTTGAAACTTGCAGTCAATTCAACTTGTTAAATAGGTAAGGCCCAGGCTACCTGTTTCAAATTGGTGCATCACAGAACTTCGTGAAGACCCCTTAAAACCTGTGTTTTAACACCCAGCTATCTATCCGATGTGTGGCTAGTTTTTAAAGGCCCTCTTCACCTCACAGCTTGAA